TAGTTCAGTTCGCACGAATCCACACACTCCTCGGTTCTACAGCTGTCTTTACAAGCCTGTCGTTTCCTTTCGCATTCTCTGTCTTCGGAGCATTGCGACCACAGGTCTCGCGAGTGTAGGCTGGTCCCGGGGATGCCGTAGCAACCGCACACACAGTTGGTTCTGCACTTCTCTTCACACTCCCAATCGCCTTCGCATTCACTGCATGTCTCTGCATCATAGCACTGAAACATATGCAAAGTATAGATATTGGCTTACTGGAAGAAAGAGGCGGCATAGGCGGAGACTCTTTTGCATGAAGAGATACGAATATAACACTCACCCGTCGATCTTCGGAGTAACATAAAACAAGTTCTCTAATTTTCTCGGTTGCAGATTTGCTAGTGCTGCTTGGCTCACCCACGGTTGTGATGCCAGACCCCGGCACGACGTTTGTGCTGCTGGGAGTGCTTGAAAAGGTCTGAGCTGCGTTACTGTCTCCGGTTCCGGTTGTTGTGCCACTTGTCGCAAACGCGGTCGTTTTGCTGGGCCCGGGCGTGCTTGTGCTACTGGACACGACCCTAGGTGTGCTTTTAAGTGCAATCCCAGGTGTGCTATTGAGTATAGTCTCGGTTGTGCTACTGATTGCAAGCCCGGCTGCAAGCCTGGTTGTAATAAGAGGAACCCCCTTCGTGCTTCTGAGTGCAATCCCGATGCCGTTACTGTCTTCAAGTCCAACTAAGCTGCCGGTCTCTACGCTGGTTTCACCGACAAGTTGTTGACTGCACTCGCAGTAGCACTTCAGGTAGTCCATTTCGCAAGAGTTCTCGCAGTCCTGAGATTCGCAGTTGTGCCTGCACGTCTCCCGCTTGGGGCTGCATTCCCTCTCCCAGTAGCACTTCCCGAACAGGCCGTATGTGGCGAGGCTGCTGCCCGGGAGGCCGTAGCAGTCGCATTTGCAGCTGTGCCTGCACTTGGCCTTGCACCTCCAATCATCGCGGCATTCACTGCAGATGGTCGTGCTGCACTGGAACACGTGTGGGGTGGATGGACTATCAGACACAACTATCGGACAACCCAGTCAGAAATGCAATATGGATAAATGGTTGATAGCCATCGATCGTGGCAAATTCGACATCGACTCGATTTTGTCCACTTAATCGACGAAATTTCGATATCGACGTCGAATCGACTTTGATTTGAAACTCCATTTCTCACTAGGTTACGCACACCAACACCCAGAAAAACGTTTCCTTGATTTCAGGTCGAAATTTTCTTTGATTTATTTCCTTAGGTATTTTCCTAAATATTAGGAAATTTCCTTGTCAGTAGTTCATGGCGTTAAACGCTTCAGCCTTGTTACAAGGAAAATTCCTCGTTACTTCGACGCCATGCGTGACTTTAGTTCTCGTCGCGCACACCGACCGCCGCAGCGAGAGCGACGACGAAGTTTGCCGTCACCGTCTGTCTCTGTCTCTCATCACATCGGCGCGCGAGAGAGGGAGAGAGACGGATCGGCTGCCGAAGCCCAAGGCTATTCGCACGCGCTCCCTGCCCTGTCCCCCACTACATCACCTCTCGACTCGGCTGCGCAAAGCTTGTACGGCGGACCCCTCCCCCTCCCCCTTCTCGTCTGTCGCCTCAGACTCAGAGTTCCGGTCAGTTCCGTTCGTGTCGGGCGAGGTGGCGAGGTGTCGTGCGCGTTGTGAGCGTCGGCGTCAACAATGACAATCGAGCAAGTGAGAGAAGTGCTACGTGGATGGGGATATTCGCAACTGATCCCCGTTTTTGAAGGTAAGTTCGTTCGCCAGTATAACTAAGTTTACTAACCTACAAATAGAATTTTAAAAGTTGTTTCCGGAGTAGAAAAATGTCCTCACGCCAAAAGAGTCAGTAATCGTGTTAGGGATCCCATAGTGCTGTACTGTTATATTACTCTGATGCGTATTTAAATATGCGTATTGCTCGCCAACCGGCCCACACCGCCGTGCCCATGCGATGTTATGGCTCGCCCTTTCCCCCAGTCGTGTCCGCTCCGGGCCGCGCCGCGTCACCGCCGGGCCTGTGTATCGAGCATGCATTTCCCCTCGCATTTCCCCCTTTCCCCCTCAACGC